CGTATTGTAGTGAGAAACTTGGAAGTCATGAAATAACCTATGTGAGTGTTATTTAGTAACCAAAGTTATAATTCAATACCTTTCCATACCACTTAGCCCGATCTAACATTTGTGTGTTACTTAGGCTACTCGTGCCTCACTTGCCTCATAAACATGTTGCCTACATATCTTTCTTTCAGAGGTGTTAGGAGGCACATTGCACAAGTGTAATGCACAAAACACTCAAATATTAGTACTTGGCACATGAGGAGTCTTCAATGATGTTATAAAGTGTTATTATTTGTCTTATTATCAAACAAGACAAAATTACCTTGCTGTATATTTTTATAATGCAACTCTAGTAACTCATTCAGAAAAATATGTAAGTTAATCAAAGTACATAGGAGAAATAAAGCCATCTATTTCCTCAGGAATAATCATTCTTAAAGTTTTAGAAAATTCCTTTCCCCCTTTAATTATTCTTCTATCAATACAAAAAGTTTTTCTGTCAAAAGTTATTATAGACTCATGAATTTTTATTTCTATTATATTGCAAATATTTCAAATTTTAGTAATAAACCCATAAAATATTTTTCAATGGCTGCATTGTAGTTTATTCTTTGAATGCAATGTAAATCAGGTGTCTCCCTGTAAATCATCATTTAGTCTGACATACAAAAATCTGCTGGCGAGTTTTCTTCTAAGATCTGAAAGCAGCAAAGTGTATCACTGTCAGCATCTCATTACTGCTCTATGAGTCTCTTTTGATTACTAAATGAGACAACCCTGTAAGAAGGTAGCAGCAATATATTGACAAGCTTGTCTGTGCATTCCTGTCCGAAAAGGGTTTATGTTCTCAGATTCCTTGGGATTCTCTCAGGTCTTTCTCTCTACCCTTGCTTTTATTAACAGTTTTATAATCAGTAAGTTTGTATGCAGGTTCAAGAAATCAACTGTAGTACAAACAGAGAGAATAAGATGGTCAGGAGTCACATAGACAGGATGTAATCACAAAAGATTGAGTGGCTCTGAGGTAAGATAAAAAAGGTTCACATGCTGATCTACAATAGCTTTTCTTGTGAATCTCCTTTCTTTCTTCCAATGGCTTCCCTGAATTGAGAACTAGAACTGGGTCCTTAGAAGAATAGATGATGGGGATGAATATGTTATCATAAACTTAGAAATTATCACATAAGTAAAGGACTATGTACAGCACAGATGCAAAGTGATGTCCATATTCTTGCATGGTGTGCCAGCATGTACTATATAAGAAAAGTGAGTGAATTAAAAGGTAGTCATTTGGAAAACAAAATGAGAATTTATTGACATTTTATGTATTCTGTGAAGACTCCTGATCACTGAAATCCTTGTCACATGGTTCAAATTTTGTCAGGGAATGTTTCACAAAGGTTAGTTTTGTTTTCTGCATGGTGTAGGAACAATGCATAGCATTTCTTTCCTCTAATGATGAGGTGCTAGACTCTGAGGCTGGATTATGTGGGTTCAGCCCTACTTTGATTTGCATCAAATGTATGACTTGGACAAGTTCTCGGGATACATATCTCATTTACCTCATGAGCCAAATGGGTTCATAGTCATAAGAGAACAGACCTCACAGGTTACAGTGAGGGTTGAAGAATTTCATATGTGCAAAGAATTAAGAACACTAATAGACATCTCTCTTATAGAAAAAAAATATTAATTGTTCTTTCCTTGAGCCCATTCTCACTCTTCATTCATTGGCAGAGCCAAGGGTCACTCATAATGTGATGGATTCATCAAACGACCCCAGGATATTGGACCTGTATTCTGATGACATCATATTCCTACAGCCCTGAATGTGAAGTGAGGAACTACCTTCCTCCTGCTCCAGAAAAAAAGATACTGCTTCCATCCCAAGTTGACCTCAAGTATGTTGTTTGTTATAGAATCATGATGTTTACATTTCCAGGGTAGCCTCATGGTCTAGTTCAAAACATATGAACTTGTCTTTGACTAATCAATTGAACTCTCAGAGATTTAATGTTTTATCTGTAAAATGGGCAAATAATTGTTATAGTGCTGAAGTGTTGTGATAATCATCTGTGGCAATGTTCATGTACTCTATCTAGGACAGCTGACATACAATGCTTCCCTCTCTCAGCCTGAGCCACTCCTGTTAGTGGAAGAGTCTAGATGGTGATATGATTAATGGGGCCTGTGTCTATTCATTGCCAGTCAGGATTTAATTCATCAGGAAGTGTGCTAAATGAAGTTTGGGAAGACCATGGGCAGAATGCTTCCTGCTCAAGGTGGGGCCTAACATGTGAACAAACACAAGTAGGCTGTTGCTGCACTATGGGTCCCAGAAGCACAGTAGTCAATGGCCACATGTTTTCCCATGAAGTGCATGGCAAGGACCAATGTAGACTTTTGAAAACTTTTTCTTGCCTCAAATGTATTGTTTTTCTCACCTAGCTGAACTGAAGCTGGGATATTTGTTGAGATGATAGACTTCAGGTGTGTCATAATTTAGTGTGGTTGCTTCTGATACCAGTGTACAACTGTATTTTTAATGTCTTCAGTGGACATCATTCAAAATATGAACACTCTATTGCTCTGGGAATTCACATCTTAGGTGGCTCCAGCTGTAACTCACATGTCCCACTGCAAAGGAAAAGTGGAAATTCCCATGGACATCAGAAACATTAAAAATCTCTTTCATCACTAATCCATGGTCAAATAAATTGAAGAGCAACTCACAAGGCCCCAGAGGGAAAAATATGAATGTTCCCAGTAGTGACATCCTACTGTCTGCCAGACTGTGTCACCAGGGAGAAGGTGGGAAATTGAGGATCCTGTTTGGAGTGTCCAGGACAGGGAGAGGAGGGTGTGAGAAAAGGAAGTGGTCCCATGGGGGCATGTGCAACCTGATGCAGATCTCAGCATTTCAAGGGGTTCTGATGACTCACATGTGCTGAACTGAAAGGAAATATGCTTCAGAACCTAGACAGGAATGTCTGTGTAGGTTGGGTGGAGGCAGTTCTTGAAGGTGACTTAATTCTGTTTTAGACTAATCTGTTTCCTCCTTTATTTTCATGCTGTAGAAACATTATTTCAAAAATGTGAGGGTGTAGTTTTGTGTCACAAAGTTAAACTTGGTACTTCCATTAATTTCTTTGGCTTCAGTACTCAGGAGTATGAAACATGTCGAGTATTTTACAATTTTTTAAGCTCACCCAAGGATATGCTTATTTATTTTCAAGAGAGAGGTATCAGGGAGAGAGAGAGAGAGAGAGAGAGAGAGAGAGAAACATCAATGTGAGGGAGAACATCAATTCGTTGCCTTCTATGTGTACCCCATCAGAGACTGAACCCTCGGTTAGGTATATGACCAGACAAGGCATGAAACCTGCAACCTTGTGGTGTACGGTTGACACTCTAACCAACTGCACCGTCCACCCACCATCAGTATTTTACTTTTTTAAAAAAAGCAAACTAGTGAGAAGGAGGAGATTGGGGGGGAAAGGTGTGGGGAATAAGAAGCATAATTGGTAGGCACAAAATAGACAGGAGGATGTTGAGAATAGTATAGGAAATGGAGAATCCAAAGACATATACGTACAACTCATGGACATGAACTAAGGGGGAGAATACTGGAGGATGTTTGGTGCAGGATGAAGGGGGAGAGGAGACAAAAAATTGGGAAAGCTATAATAGCATAATGAATAAAATACACTTAAAAATAAAAAGGCAAACTGAAGTCTCAAACCGACATAATTCATACCTCATTTTACAAGTGATAGGCATTTTCATTTGAAACACAATGCAGCATTTTCTTTTATAATTAACCAGATGTCACCATACAGATTACAACTCAGAGTATGAAATTTCTGTTATAACCAGGGCGCCCTCAGGAGGAGACAGAACTGAAATTGCTAAAAGGAATAACAGAGCAAATCGTGAGAATGGGGTCAGCCTCTACTTATCCTGGACCTTGAACCTCTCTCATAACACTATGTCACAGAGAGGGATATATTTAAAAAATCTCTTTTTAAAAAATCCTCACCCAAGGATATGTTTATACATTTTAGAGGGACAGGAAGGTAGGGCTGCAGAGAGAAAAACATTGATGTGAAACATTGACCTGTAGCCTCCAGTATACACCCCCCAGCTTGAGATCAAACCTCCAACCTAGGTATGTGCTGTGACTGAGGAATGAACCCTCTACTCTTTTGTGTAAAGGAAAATGTTCGAACCAACTGAGCCATCTGACTAGGGCTAATGTCCATTTATGCATGTGATATGAAGCCTTCTGATCATGACAGGTTCTCTCTCTTCTTTCACAGGCGAAATCAAGTGTTGCCCCATAATGTGGGCTCATCTAACATCCCCAATGAATTTGAGGCTTTGGTCTGATGCCAACGTGCTGGTAGAAACATTTTTCCCACATCTCCCAGAAAACTGGCATTGCTCTATCCTAATTTAATCAGGATAATTTAGTGTGTATTTAAAATATTGCAGTCTTTAAACTTAACAGTGTGTTTCACAGTCCAGTTCAAAAGCATGGACTTCTCACTTTTGGATGATCTTTAAGACTAAACTCTCTAAGCTTAATTTTTTCTAGTTGTAAAATGGACCAGTAACAGTTGTATTGCCAAGGGATTGTCTTGAGTATGCATAATAATAATGGCTCCAGCCACCCTGATCACTTACTGAGAGTTTCTGCAAGGTGAGATGGTGGACTGTGGCACAACCTGTGCTTTCTGTCCCCACACAACACTTTAATTAATTGAGATGTATTGTCAAATAAAGCTTTGGAAGCACAATCCTTGTAATTAACTGGGAGCTATGTGCAAGCATAATCCAAGATGGCTTCCTGAAGAGCTCAGGAAATGCTGCAGACAAGGCAAGGCTGACTTCAGGAGCCCAGCTGGAGAGGGTGTTGCTGGTTGTGGTTGCCACTGTTGGGAAGGATGTAGGTGGGCACAGATCCAGGCAGAGGATATTGTGTGGGTTGTCTCAACAGTTCTAGTAGTGTGAGTCCAGCCAGCACAGTAGTAAATGGCCACATCTTCTTTTTCTATGAAATTTATGGTCAGCATTGAAGTGAGACTTTGAGAATTCTTTTCTGCCTGATATTTGTTGTTCCTCCCACCTTGGTTACTGCGAGCTGGGCTTTTTGTTGAGCTCACATAAATCAGATGTTCCAAAGCCTGATTTGGTTTTTGCCGGTACCAGTGAATGATGTCGTTTTCAAAATTTGTGCTTGATACCTTGCAAAGTATGACAACACTTTTCTTTACTTCTGTGGAAATGGATATCTGAGACTGCTCCAATTTTGATAACCCAAGTCCAACTGTATGTAAAAGAAGAGAATTTCCAATGAACTTCAGACAATATAAGAAACAGTAAAGAATTTCTTTGCTCTCTCATCTAGACTGAAATGGTCAGGGACTGTTACTCACGCGTCCAGAAGGACAAGAAGGTGAATGCTTCCAGCAGGGACATCCTGTGAACAGACTGTGTCCTCAAAGAGAAGCAGGAAAGTGGAGCCTGGGTGGCAGGCAGGGCAACTTATGTCAGTAGCAAGTAGGTGTAGCCTAGATTGGGGAGAGGGAAGGAAGTGGTGGGTTAGCAGGACCTTGGGCCTTTAGTGCTGGCTGCTGGTCAGAAATTACTCCTTTCTGTGGGCTTCATGACATCAAGATACAGCTGGTGGTCTATGTAGGGCTCTTTGGCATAAATGTGAGGGGTCCTTGGAGGCACCTTGGAACATGCTGCTAAACATATTTATTGAAGAAACTCAGGGAAACGAGGTAAGATAGGAGTTAATATAACTATATAACACCAAAACCAAATCTATTTGTCATTATGGTGTTAATGTATAGAATTCTTCTCTACATATAAAAGGATAGTAATGTGATTTTTGTGGATCATAAATATATTTAAGTTACACATGGAACATGTACAGGGTTTTGTGCTTCTTTTCTTTGAGTTCACCTTATATTCTGAGCAACTTCGTATGCCATTGATGCATTTTTTAATGTCTGCAGCTAATCACTGTTCATCTCTGTCACTTAGAAGTTGCCTGACCCTGTGCAAATTTCTTAATCCCTTTATGCCTCAGATTCCTCACTTGAATCCTGATGCAGTAATAATGCCTGTCTCAAAAGGTTGTGCAGATTAAATAACTAAGAAGGCTACCTTGTCTGGATTCTGGCATACAGTAAATTTTCAGTGATTATTAGACATTATTGTTAATACTAATACCATTTTTTAAAGAATTTAACTTCCCTATACTATCAACTCATTCCCTTATGATTATCTTTGAAAGCATTGTATGCATCGGAACTTCTTGAACTCTGGACAGCAGTTGTCCCTGAAGCTTATGTCCAGTCCTCCTGTGTGAAGCAGATGTGAACTCACACTAGCTTGGGTCTTCTCGTGAAGAAAAGAGAGGAAAAAGCTGGCTTACTATGGCTAGATTTTTTCCTGAGGCAACTGCCCTATTTTCCCTCTTGTCTGATAAATACCACTTCTGAGATGACAACACTGGAAAGCTGACAACACTGGAAAGTTGACTTATAATGGTGGGAAATTATTTAAACTTAGATGAAGGTTTTAAACGTTATGACACAAAAAGGAAGATAAATGGCCACTTCAGAAACATCCCTGAGGAAAAAAATTCCTTCAAACAAGGAAGTAAAGTTGGAAATTATCTTTTACTTATTAAACACTTTCAGAAAATAAGTATTTTGTTGCATTTGCTTCTCCTAATATTAATAGCGTTTGATAATTAAAACATTCTAAGTGGCAGGCAATGTACTACAAACACTTTGGCAATGTACTGCAAGCATTATCTAATTTAATCTGCATAAACCTATTTTGTGCTGTTAATATTGTTCTCATTTTTTTAGATGAGAAAATTGAGGCTTTGACAGAGCAGCATCTTGTTCCAAGCCTTACAGGTATAAGTGGCAGAACAATAATTTGCATCAGAAGGTCTGACTCTGAAACTCATATTCGTAAGGAAGATACTATACATCATATATAATGAAATAGTTTCCTTCAGTTTAGAACAGTCTCTTACAGGTAGTTCAGTCTCTTTTGGTAGCTTCTTTATATTTTCTATGTTTCTCTGTCTTCCTTGGCTAGTCCCCAGGGTGGCATTAATGCATATGGGAGGAATGGGAGTGTCTGCCACCCCCCACGTCCTCTCAAATTTTCAGCTCTCTGCCCTGATCATCTCTGGGATTTAGCCTCTTCCTCTGAATTGGCTGGGGCAATAACCAGACCTGAACCAACTACTGACCCCACATTATGCCCTTGGGTACAAAGTTCCCACCCTGCAGCTTCTCATCCAAATCCCAGGTACTGCATGCCCTGGTCCTCTCAGCACCTCTCACCCTCTTAGAGACCTGAGAGGCATTAGGACCTGCTACACGTGAAGCTGTGGGGAAAGCAGTGCTGCCCTCACTTTTGTAAATGCCCTCACTGTTCATGTTGTTTTTCTTACTGTGGCCATTCTGAGGGAGCTTGCTATCACCAGATAATCTCAGATTCTCTCTCCATCTATTTCAAGTTTTTGTTGAAGTTCTGTCCTCTCTGGGATAAGACCCTCAGAGGCAAGGGAACCAGAAAGGCAACTCCTCTTGCCCTCCCCCTTATCTCACAAACATCACACTGGCAGTGCTATCCCTTCCTCTAGAGCAGATGCTAATTTCCCTGTCGCCACCTTCCCACTTAACTGTATCTAGACCTCTACTAAAATTCTTTGTTCCTAGTTTGCCAGCTTGCATTAACCTTAAAATAGGATGTTTGAAAATTTGGAAAACCTTTTTCACCAAACCTTGTTTTCAAGCCAATTATCTCATGATTAACTCAAAATGGAGCATGTCAAATGTCAAGTTTGATATCTGATAGAGTATTAGTAGCTATAATTAGTATGCTGAAACTTAGATCCCCAGAACTTGTTCTAACTGGAAGTTTACACCCTTTGTCTAATATTTCCCCATTTCCCCCACCCTCCAGCCCCTGGTAACCACCACTCTACCCTCTGTTTCCATGAGTTTGGCTTATTTTGATGCCTAATATAAAGAGATTATATGGCATTTTTCTTTCTCTGTATCAGTTATGTGATTTAGCATAATGCCCTCAAGATTCATCCAAGTTGTGACAAAAGGCAGGATTTCCTTGTTTCTCATGACTAAGTAACTTTTAATTGCATATGTACCTCATCTTTTTTATCTGTTTTTCTATTCACATACACTTAGTTTGTTTTCATAACACGGCAACTGTAAATATGCTGCAATAAGCATGGGAATGCAGATAACCCTTCAAGATCTTACTTTCATCTCCTTTGGATATATATCTACCAAAGGGGTTGTGAAATCATAAGATAGTTTATTTATTTATTTTTAAGAGATACCATACTATTTTACGCAGTGGCTGTGATATAAGCATTGTGCTGGGAGATCGAAGAGGTACCATAGGCAGTGGTTGCCCAACGTTACAGTAAACTAGCTAATGGGGTGCAGTGACCAAACTCCCTAGCCTTAGGCAGATTCATGGCAGGGGGGGGGGCAGACCTGACAGTAAAAACTGAAAAAGGACAGGATTGGCTTGAAAGCTGTACACTTCTTGGGCACATGGAATTATGGGATGGAGATTTAAACAAAGGAAAGGGAGAGACTTGTTCTCTTTCCCTTCCTTGGGGAACCATCTGGATGACCATGCTGCAGTAATCTGTGATTTCCAAAAGATGGTAATTTTAAATGGAAGGAGGAATTCTGGGAGTCTCCTGGAAGAGAGTAGCAGGGTTATATTTCTTTGGGTGTTTTAGAGGAAATGGACTATGAGGCAGAAGCCTGTCATTCTTCCAAAACGGTGTAGCTTTTGAATAAAATACTCCTTTTTCATTAAACCCCTGCCTCCAAAATTTGCCTATGGGGGGCAGGCAGCAGGATCCAATTTAATATTTGGTTAGAGTTGTACCAATTTATAATTCTGCCAACAGTGCTCCAGGGTTTCTTTTTCACTACATCCTCACCATGCTTGTTACCTCTTGTCTTTGGATAAATGCCATTTTTTCAGGTACGAGTGAAAGCTCATTGTGGTTTGTATTTGAAATTCCCTGATGATTAGTGATGTCACAATATCTCTTCAATTCCTATGCCTATTTTTAATAAGTTTGGTTGCATTTGTGTATGTGAGTTCTTTATAAATTTTGGATATTAACTCTTTTCTGATATATGATTTTCAAATACTTTCTTCCATTATGTAGGTTGCCTTTTCATTTTTTGATCATTTCCTTTGTTGTGAAGAATCATTTTAGTTTTATGTCAACTTATTTTTTATTTGTGCTTTTGTTGCTTATGGACAAATTGTACCATTTAAAGTTATACAAGCCTATATACGAGTTATATCTTGATAAACCTGGACAAGATAAATAAAAGGAAAGCAAAAAAAAAATGTGTCCTGAGTACAGCCTCCATATCCTTTCATGGGTGGTAAATTTCATGGTTTATTCTTTTTTTAGAGACTTTATTTATTTATTTTTAGAGAGGAAAAAGGGAAGGAGAAAGACAGGGAGAGAAACATCAATGTGTGGTTGTCTCACACATGTGCCCCTACTGTGGACCTGGCTCACAACCCAGGCATTTGGTCTGATTGGGAATCCAATTGCAACCCTTTGGTTCACAGGCTGGCACTCAATCCACTGAGCTACATTAGCCAGGGTTCCTGGTTTATTCTTAATGGAAGAAGGGCTACAATTTATCATACTTATGTGGGAAAATAAAAATATTCTGGCTACAAATTTCAAAAACATTATCTTCTTTAAATATTTTGATTGGTACATAAGTCCAGGCTATGGAGATTTCAGCCCTCTCTATGTATCTCATAATTCATGTAAGAGCAAGTTCACGAAATAATATATAATGTATATTTTCTTAGCCTTTTCCCCTAAGGCAGACTGTCTAGAAAGGGAACTCTTTCAGACACCATATTTTGCCATGTATAATGTGCTCCCATGCATAATACGCAACCATGTTTTTGGTAAAAAATTTCAGGAAAAAAATCTTTCATTTTAACTTTTTAATTCAATTTTTTATTCATTTATATTTAACAAACAAGACTGATTATTGTACTCCAGGGTATTAGTTTGCATATGGATATCATTCTTGCTTTCTGGAGTTACACTTTTAATGCATAAGCATGAATAAAAGAATTAAAAATACTTATACAGAGACTGAATTAGGTCTATCCATGTATAATGCGCATCTTTATGTTTCCTTCAAAAATTTGGGCAAAAAGTTTGCATTCTACATGGCAAAATGCAGTGTGTTCCCACGGGAATCCTTTAGCCATGGCTTGTGGAATGACTGTTCATTGATTTGACCAGGCTCTACTGGAGGAGGAAACAGGCCTGACACAGTCCATATTTGCCCCCAAATGTAACAGTGCGTTTTATAAACATAATAAACATTGAGGATGTTTAAAGTGATCTAGTAGTGCAACTGAAACAGCACAGATTATTTGTTTAGACAGACACTGCCCCCCTCTAAGCATCAATTCTTTCTTCCATTAAACAGGTTTATGTGCAGGGTTTTTATGATAATCACATGGGCTTCTAAACACATGGAGCATCTAGCACATTATCTGGTAGCCATGATGGCAAAATTGATGTGAATTCCATTTTGTTCATTGCCAGTGCCTCTAGCCTGAGATTTTCACAATTACTAGAAATCTCTGGGAAATAAAATAACATACCTTGTCTCTTCTCTTAGAAATTAGCAGGCCTTTCAACATACATGGTCTCTGTGTACCCTAGTCAGTAGGAAATGATGTCAAACCGGGGGGTTCATTTGATAGCCAACACACTCCCTTTCTTTCCTTATTTTGAGGCATCAGCATGAGAAGCACAGGAAGTGCTGCAAGCTGAGGCTGGGGCCTAGCCAGGGCTGAGGCTTGGACTCAGGACTGAGGATGCTTCACGCTGAGAAGGATGTGGTCACACTCATGGTAAGGGGTGTGTGTATTTATTATCTTGGCTCCAATGACACTGTGGGCTTCCAGGGTTCATTATATTAGGTCATCATGTCTTCTGTGGAATTTATATTAGAGACCAAAGAGGAACAGAGAATTTTATGTTACTTGTGGTTAAAATTCATTGCCAATAACTGACCCAGTGTAATGATTTTTGTTTTGTTGTTGCTGTTGTTGTGTTTAGGAAATATCTGGGTTTCAAAAGTCTGATCTGATGTCTATCAGTAACTTGCATGTATAAAATGTTATATCTAGACACACTAAGAGAAAATATATGCTTCCTTTATGCTAATGCCACAAATATTTTCAGTTGCTTTAAGAGTATAGATTAAATTTCAACTCTAAACAAAAAATAGCATTTCTAAGAAAAGCCAAATTATGAAAAAATAAAACGTTAGCTCTGGCTAGTGTGGCTCAGTGGATTGAGTTCTAGCCTGTGAACTAAAGGGTCTCCAGTATGATTCCCAGGCTACGTCACATGCCTGGGTTGTGGGCCAGGTCTCCAGTAGGGGGTGCGTGAGAGGCAACCACACACTGACATTTCTCTTCCTCTCTCCCTCCCATTCCCTCTCTAAAAATAAATAAATAAAATCTTTAAAGTATAAAACATTAGTTTTACAAAAACTTCTCAACCCATCTGTGAAATGGTGGAACAATTCACATTTGCGAAAAGCATTGTGAAGAGAAAATAAGTGTTTGTAGCCATAATGTTCTGTCTTCCCTACCTGTGTGCCCCAAAACCAGACTCAGGAAGAGACAGGGACAGGAGGAAACGGGAGCCTCTCAGAGTGTAACTAAGGGAAACAGGTGGCTCAGAGCCCAGTGCCCAGACCAGTCATTTCTGAGTTTGCTAATTGGTCAACACCATATGGAAGCTTTAAATATAATTGTATGACACACAAAAAGCAGTCTTTCACCCTATGTTTTTTTAGATATGAGAAACTTTTAGAAAGATTATTTTTCTTTTTATTGTTTTATCAAGATAAAACTGTTGATAAAGTGGGTTTCAGTGAAAGAGGTTGATTTCAGTGAAAGAGGTTGATTTCAGTGAAAGAGGTTGATTTCAGTGAAAGAGGTCATCCAAGTTGCAAAAGTTGCTATGACCTGAAGTCACCATTTGACTTTTCCAGATGAGGGTTCTCACTATTCTCTCTGTCCATCAAACACTCAGGACTTACACAGGTCAAACAATTCTATGAACCCCAACACACACATAGACTTTTGCTCTGGATGCATACTGGCCTCAGTGCCTGGGGAGTTCCCTTGCTTGTCATGGAGGTGGGAGAGCTAAGTCCTGACCTCCTCATCAAAGAAGATAGATGTTTCCATGTCACTCCCCCAGGGCTCTTTATCGAAAGTCTGTTCAGAATCAACACCCCTACAAATTCTCTAGATCTCTTGTAGCCAGGCTAGCAGTAGTGAATGACCACAGGTTGGAGTTTTCAATGGATAACTCATGATGCAGAGCTGTTCTGTCTGGAGATACATTGGTATCATTCAAATCAAGGAACTAAGATCACATAGAGAACTCAGCTCAAATCCAAAACTCGGTATCCCAGCATTGCTCTGTGTTCAGCCTGCTTCAGCAAACAGGTTGAACAGAGAGGAAGGAAGTGAAGGATGTGGAATCCACTGAGCTTCCGGATTTCACCTGCTGTTTTCATGTACACTTTCCTTAAATGGATGCCAATAGGCTGAATCACAGAACATTGAACTGTTAACTGACATTCTGTGTGGGCACCTACATATATTAGAGAAAGGTGAAAATAAACACCCTCCATTAGAAATTTCATAAGTCAATTAATGCTCTGTGTAGAGGTCTCCAAATTGCCCCACAAAATCATTTATTTGCTTTTGATTTTTTATTATATGGCTATGGCCTCCTCTATTAACCTGTTCTCTCCAAACTCAGGCACAATCACTTCCAATCCACCACAGGCCCTAATGCTCATATTCTCACCACAAAGGTTATTTCATTTATGAGCAACTCTCAGGCTGTTACCCTTGAGGTCAAGAGTATACCTGGGAGAATTTCAAATTCAGGAAACAAAGTTGAACCACCTTTCACATGAGTGCTTAATCCAGTCACCACAATTGGCTCAGAAGTCCCTCGTGCTCTTTTCCATTTACCTTTGGATGACATTTCTGTACTCTCCAGCAGAGTGAGATTGGGGGAGTGCGGCATCAAACACAATAAATAAGGAACATGTCTTCATGTTCCATCTTATTTTTTTTTTTTTGGCTCAATAAACAGTTCTTGTTGTGCCTATTTTTTCTTATAAAAAAACTAAAACCCAAAAGTCAGAAAAAATTGATTGCATAATGAAATTGTAGAGAATTCTTTGTAGATTGTCTCTAAGTGAACACTGCAGGTATGATTTTAAGAAACTTAATGTGGCTTGGGATAGAACCTCATGCTTCAGGTGACGTAAAAACTCAACACTAAGCATATAATGGATGGTTAAATACTCTATTTTCCCATAATATCCCATTCAAAAAGTTTTGTTTTACACATTCCTCTGGGACCAAAAATACAGATTTTATAACCAACAGATCTGGATTCAGATCCCAGACTTGCTTTATTATCAAATCACTTAACTTATCAAAGTGTTACATTTGTATCTATAAAATATCTATAAAACTGAGATAATGATAATACTAGTTATCCTTCAGTATGATTATAAGGATTAAATAACATGAAGTATATAAAGTGCTTAATAAAGTATGTAGCACATGAGGAACATTCAATAAACAATACCTATTATTGTAATATTCTTATAAAATCATTAAGTTACATTTCCTTATTTTCATATAGAATTGAGCTGTTTGATAAAATGGCATTAGTCAATTATATACATGTAAACTAATTATTTGTTTTTCTGTGTTTGAGTAAAGAAAAATAGAGTCAAAGAAATCTTATGAATGACAGACTGCAAATTGTAATTCTAGAACTTTCAGAATTATAACTACAGATTTTTGGCAATTACTCTGTAGTTAATTTATCAATTTAAAAATGTGACAGGATTACAGTAGAATAAAAATTGATCAACATGTGATTGAAGCAGTTCAATGTTGACTTGAAGGTGGCCAGAAAATAAATTAAGTAATTACAGAAAGAGAGATCAATTACAAATGTGGGAGTGTGGATTTTAGTTGACATAAAACTGACAGACATTGCTCTAGTCTCTGTCTTTACTAAAAGCTTGTATTATTTCACCACTTTGCACTTTTGTTTTAAAGAATATTAAGAACACAGAGTTTAAATAACCATAATATTGATTCATCTAGCTCTATAAACATATATAAAACAGTATAATCAAAGATCTTTTTATGTTATTTATTTTATTCCATTTCAGTGTTGATAATTTACTTAATAAGTCAACAGATACTTATGAATCCATCATTTAACCCAATAAAAGCAGCATTACGGATAATCTACATGCATGACTTCATTAAGTTCATCAACTAGAAAAGTACAGAATTTAATGATACTCTCTCAACACTGTTTCATTTCCTGTTTTGTCACTGAAGGAACAGTGGCACATCATGTTCTGTTAGAGATGGGATCTTGTTGGGTTTGTGGAGAGTGAAATTAAACAAACTAGATAAATATTCTTTTTTTTTCCCAATTTGTTATACTCTTTTGGGAGCAAACATAACCCATTTATGTGACTACTTGATTCCTTCTTTCTTCTACTCCACATAGACCCTCCACCACTGTTTACCTGCTCTCATTTCTTGTGAATTGGACCCTCATGGGCTGTGGTAGCAGTCTTCCTTTTCCTCTGGTTGTGGTTTGGAAGCCGTTAATAGAAGCACCAGCAGGAGAATGGGAAGTAGGAAGAGAGTGAGGTAAGGATTTCCTTGGGGAATATATAGTACTTTCTGCCCATAGCCAGGGGCTTATGTCCAGGAACCAAGAGGTGGAGGTAGAGGTGGAAGAGGCCATTGCCTCTTACACCAATTAACCCATGGGAGGAATTTGCTTCTTTTTTCCCAGTGCCCTAGATCCACAGGCTTATAGGCACAAGGTAGGAATTCTTTTGTCGGGTTAACAGTCATGATTTCTTTAAAACTCAACTTCCACTGACCAAAATTACATGAAATTAGAGAAAAAAGATGCTCATTTATGTAATCTGTAGGGGTCAGCGTCCTGGAGCCTACAGCAGGGTGGAAAACCAGGGAAAGTGGACCTTGGGGGGAAAACAGAAGGCATTTAGCAGAGTCCACACTTTTGCCCCTCAGCATGCACCTTTGTCCTTTGACTGGGTGAGAAATCCATAGCCCTAAAATAGGGGATGTACAGCATCTTAGTCTGGAGTCTACCTTCTTCTCACTCTCCAGGTGAAGTCTGAATGAGGATGGTTTTCTAGCAACCTTCCAAGAAAGGTAGAACATCATGTTCTCAGGCAATGAAAGCTCTAAACAACCTACTGAAGGAAACATGATCATGTGCTACAGTGTGTGCCGTTCTACTTGTGACTATCTCATTACTATATCTGCATGTGGACAAAAAAGGAAGTTAAGAAAGCAAGAAAGTTATAGTAGAGTGTGAATAAGAAGACTGAGTTTTTTTCCACTATCTAATACTTCCTATTTATTCTGCTTAGGTAATAAGAGGCATATGAGCCCAATAAACTATCCAAATCATTAACATGGTCTTTATCTTGGCAGGTGGGATCAGTGGGAATCAGAAGAGAAGAGGTTTTATTTTGTAAAAGACACAAAAGTGGCTAGAAAATAGGGGAGAAAAAGGGGTCAAGACACAACCCATTAGAGGCCTTTTTAAACATCAAATTTCACATGTTGTCTCTAAGTCTTTAATATTATGCAGAGATATTTTCAATATTATGAAATAGGTTACTTCTGTTTAAAAATAAATTTTAAAATAAATTTCAAAAACAATAAGAGTTTCTATTAAACAATTTAGAAGCTACAAAAATTACATAGAAAAAATATCCATGATCCCAAATTTCAGAGGTGACCACTCAAAGATGTGCCCTTTCCTGTACCCCAGGCTGCCTGTCTGAATTCTGAGGGCTGAAAATAAAGAACACCCAACACAAATCAGATAACATGGGTTTCCAAGTGGGCTTAATATTTCTTTTAAATTATGATCCTTATAAGATACTTACTAGGTAAAATGCATCACTTTTCCCACAGTACTAGCAATTTTTTATGAAAACAGTGACTTTGAAGATTTTCTTAGATTTTATTCAGCAACATTATATAATCTAACTTATTTTATTCATTAATTAGATTATACAATGTTGTTTCCATTGTGCAGAGTGATTGCATATACACCACATTAGGTATGATAGAAAACAAGTTAAGCCAAAGTTATTAGAATATTTTAGACATTCATCTCTAAAAATCCCCCACCGATTAACTAATGTGGCACCTCAATAATGATCAAAATTTTACTCTCACTTCAACAGACATTAATTGAGTACTCTACTCCATTTAGTACTGTACACTCTAGCAAAATGCCAGTGTTTCTATGACTCAGCAATACGAATAACCACTGAGTTGGCAAATATTTACTTTGGACAGAACTGGTTTACCTCTGGTGTTTGTGTGGACAAAGTGCCCTTGGTGAAGCCCTCCTTAGCCAAAAAAAGAAGGTCAGGAGGAGTAAATGCCTCCAAATATAGAATTATGTTTCCCCAAACAGGGGTTGTTTGCTTCATGCCTACAACCACTCTCCTCCAAAGCTGAGTGCAAGTCAAAGCTGTTGAGGAATCACATTTGAAAACTTAGATTTAAATATATTTGGGGTACATACTCATTAGAGTCCTTCATATGTAGCTAATATCTTTAAACTATAATAAACAACCACACTATGACAGATGTGCTGCTAAAGCTTTGGACATGCAAAGGCATGTGCTGTGTGGGTATGATTTGTCATATCTATATGTGTGCTAGATGTTATTTTATTTTTTATCAGCTTTCATTTACTGAGCTCTACAAAGTGCCAAGCACTGGGCCACACCCTTGTTATGCATCATTTCAAGGACATTCACAAACCATGAGGTAACACAGGACCTTTATCTTACAGGTGAGGAAATGGTCTAGAGAACCTAAGGCCTTGCACCACAGCTAATGTCAAAGCCCAAGTCTGACCTAGGTCTCTCTGATATAAGAGTCCAGGCTTTAACCACTTTGCTGCACCACATATGTATCCAGGTAACTATTAAACTATTAAAGAATCACAAATACTAAGAACTATTTGAAAAGACAAATCTAAGAATCATTCATCCCTCAACTTTTTGAACCAGAGCATATCTACTTTCATCTGTTTTCTATAAGCAAGATTGCATTTGAAGCCTAAAACATAGATCGTATTTGTTTTGTCATGGCCAAGCAACAACAATAACAAATTTTGAACCATGAATTGAAGTAGTTATAACCAGAATTAGTGAGATATTTATAACCATGATGTGTATTTAAGATGGGAACTGTAATTTTACTGGTTAAGGGAAGCCTAGCATCAGAAAAGACTCTACAGAAACAACCTCTAGCCTGGACAGAGCATGTGAGATTTGTTATTCCTGCTATGTGCAATGCCTACCTCAGAGTAGTCAATTGCACATTTACTGTTGGATAAATGGAATCTTAAGCCCGAAAATGAAATACCCCTCAAACTCCAATCTAAAGTAGACTTTGATTTGGACTCAAAATCAGCAGTGTTTATAAGTTTTGTGCAAAATCAAATATTCTCACTGTACATTATCATTGTAGTGTTCCCTGCCTGGGTATAGATCATGCTACGTTTGTTATATTTTAGCCTCTAGGAAAATGAATGGCATTTAATATAATATCCATTTTTTTCTACAGGAGATAGGTCTATTAGAAAAAACTAAATATAAATTGTCTAGTATAAAAAAGGCCTCAAAAATATGGTAGTGTATATATTTTGACATAAAATAAAATGGAATGAGTGAGGAAGAATAGACATGGGTGCCAGGGTGAGTCTACTGGGGAGAGATTAGATATCAGAAAAACGAGTCTGGCCATTTGTGCATATTTATGAAAAGTTTACTCTATGGAAAAATATGGAATTTGGAAACTCCACATAGAATTATCCACATGAACATGTGTCTAGAAAACTGTATGAAAGTATACAGGTGGTACCTGTGGTTTTCCAGTTCATAATAGCAAATGAAGAACCAAGGAACAATGTTGAACAAGATGACTCTGATATCTGCTACTGTGCACCTCCCAGAAGGCACAATAGTAGGTGGCTGAGTCTTATTTCTCCACATTGTAAATAGCGAGGGTAGATATAGAAGTTTCAGATATCATGTCTACCTTAAATTTGCCCAATGTAATACCTGATTCCATTTTGACAGTATTGTCAGATGAAATGTGCAGCAGGTACTGCATGGCTTGACCAGGTCTTTCTTGATACCAAAACACAGACATTGTAGAAAGTGTCACACCAGATACCACATTTTTCCAGGCAGGCCGTTTTTGACAGCTTTTTAGTACTTGGAGGTTGAGGTTGCTCTGGATAATCTGCACCATGGACACAAACTGAATAAAAAAAGGAAGGAAGAGAGTTAACCAGCCAAAAACTTAGAATTTTTAAAAAGATTTTGTTCATTGTTAGAGAGCAGGAAAGGGAGAGAGAGGGGAGGGAAAGAAATATCAAAGTGCAAGAGACACATCCATCAGTTGCCTCTCATACACACCCAACTGGGGACCTGGCCCACAACCCAGGCATGTGCCCTGACTGGGAATCAAACCAGTGACCTTCCAGTTAGCTGTTTGCAGGCCAGCACTCAATCCACTGAACCACAGCAGCCAGGGCAGTTTTTTTTTCTAAAACAATTACAAAATTAGAGTATATCTGTCAAAATAAATTAGGAGAGAAAAACTACTTACAAGCACCAAGGACTGCCAGAGTTAAGATTTGGAACAGCAACAGCATGTCAGAATGAATGGCATTCCCCTCCAGAGCAGCCTGGAACCACTGCAAATAGTTGCAGACCACTGTGGCTTGGCTGAGTCAACCAGGTCAAAATTCCCATTGGTGAGAGTGAAGAAGGCTCTTGTACCTCATTGTGAAGGAGTGTCCTCTCCACTTGTTAGCAAATCCACTCTCTGTGAAGGCAATATTGCAAGGAACCTTCTCTACTTTAGATCCGACCACATAGCACACGCAGCTATCTTAGAATTGTAAGATGACTCATTTGGGTGCAATAAAGATGCAATGATATGGCCCCTAAACATGACATAGTTTCAAATGGAGAGATGGCGTTGAGACTGGCTGGTAAGCCAGAATGAATGGAATAGGGAAACTGAGACAGATAGTTAAACAAGAAGCTTGCAGCCATCTAGTAAATCTTATCTTCCTAAACCAAGGACAGTTAAAAGTAAATGGTTTGTACTTTTCCTACTCAACCAGAGGATAAATAGCTTAATCATCTATCAGTGAGATAAATAGCATAAATCCAATTAGTGCCATTTGCCAACCACACCCAAGGAAAGATGTGTTTAAGGGAATAAATCTCACTTTGGTACATCAGCATAAAGCTGATGAATTTTCTTTTGAGGTCCTCCCCAAGACTTCCCATAAACTCCCAGCCTTTAAAAAACCTCAAAATAAAGGTTGCCTGTGCTCTCTCCCTCCCAGGAGCATGGCTGTGACTTTCCCTTTGCCCTCTTCCCCCTCCCCCCAGACATGCATCAATCCTATGCTCTAAGGGACACACCCCATCAGACTTGCAACCAGGGATAAATACCAACAACAGCTCATCCAGGGCTAACCCCCTGATCCTTTCCCCAGTGCTGGCACCCCTTTCTCTGACACCTTAGGACTGAGACATTTTCTGTCCAGTAGGAACTGTGAACCTATATCCCTATTGTCATGTTCACT